ACTGATGTATACATATCTAACAGTCTTCTGCTTGAGTCTTTTTGAATGTTGGTGAACAGAAATTCCCCGATAACCACAAATAACGAACACCTTTAGATCTGAACCTTTTCTTTATTTGAAATGAAAAAGGTGAAGATATCGAACAGAGATCGATCTCAAAAAATCTATAAGCAATGCAAATATATTAACAGGGCAATAGCACGACCCTTGGTAATTCCAAAGTGGGATCAGATGCCTAGGAGAAAAAAGCATCCCCTGTTGAACTGACACACTCACCGTGAGTCCTGTGTGTTGATCAGATAGCAAGGACATTTCCTAATCGAATTCAGTATAAACAAAGACATAACAATCGGTCTGAAACACGTCAGCTATGATGTGACCCAATTATTGGTTATATTTGTTAACAAAGTCATTATAACAACCATGAAATTCATGGAATGCTGAGTTTAAACAAGGTTGTTGTTACTATTATCTTGTCTAGGAAGCTTGACTCGGTATAAAGATCGATAGAATTTGTAATATGTTCTTGAGTATAAAATAAGTGGGGAGATGTACATGTAAACACCATATATAGGAGATAATACTACATAAATAAGGAAAGTTGACGATGGAAAAGCTATTTCATTTTTATTGTCATACAATTAGGTTGTTACTTGCATTTATCGTCTACAGTCATTACAACATCCAAATACGAAACATATGCCCGACTCTGTGATGTCTTTTATTTCAACTTCACTGCTACTAAATGTTGTTAACTGATAATACGTCGTCAGTTTTCTGTAGGTGTACAGATATTTACTTTTTTTAAAAAACAAAATGATGATTTGGAAGGATTATCGTAATCATGAATTAGGGATTCAGATGTTTCTACCGTGCATTGTATTCATTTATGAAAAATTAAGGGTATTCATGAATTAAAGTATCCTTGTTTGTGACAAAGACGCTAAAACATGAAACCTGCGTTTTTCGTCCATGTACTGTACCTAAGTGCCAGGTTTATGGTTACAGAACGAGTTGTTCTCGTGTAGAAGTTTTTGAATTGATTCTACTATAAAGAAACTGGTCGGCTAATAAAAGAGCATAATTAATACCCATCGTTATGCCAACATTTTGTTGGAAGATCTGTGACCGAAGGCAACATAAATATTCTAAATAAGGAACTCCAGTATCGTTTTGAGATCACCTTTAGGAGTTGGACATATGCTGTCCTATGCATCTAACAATATGTTTCTTCCACATAATTGCCTAAAATTGAAATAGCAACGTTCCTGCCATCTTGATGCTATTTGTTTGGAGGCATTACATACTCTTAGGAATGTGATTCTTTGTCAACATTTATGCAAACTTAATTAATGATGAAATTTTATATTCGTCATTTATTTTTGATGCTTTCATTTACATTGCGATGGTTAAGAGTGATTTTGTTTCAAGAATTAATTACAAAGGCCAAAAGAACATACACTTCTCTTATAAATCATGGTATAATAAAAGTTTCATATGAAACTTGAATTAAAGTATCCTTGTTTGTGACAAAGACGCTAAAACATGAAACCTGCGTTTTTCGTCCATGTACTGTACCTAAGTGCCAGGTTTATGGTTACAGAATGAGTTGTTCTCGTGTAGAAGTTTTTGAATTGATTCTACTTTAAAGAAACTGGTCGGCTAATAAAAGAGCATAATTAATACCCATCGTTATGCCAACATTTTGTTGGAAGATCTGTGACCGAAGGCAACATAAATATTCTAAATAAGGAACTCCAGTATCGTTTTGAGATCACCTTTAGGAGTTGGACATATGCTGTCCTATGCATCTAACAATATGTTTCTTCCACATAATTGCCTAAAATTGAAATAGCAACGTTCCTGCCATCTTGATGCTATTTGTTTGGAGGCATTACATACTCTTAGGAATGTGATTCTTTGTCAACATTTATGCAAACTTCATTAATGATGAAATTTTATATTCGTCATTTATTTTTGATGCTTTCATTTACATTGCGATGGTTAAGAGTGATTTTGTTTCAAGAATTAATTACAAAGGCCAAAAGAACATACACTTCTCTTATAAATCATGGTATAATAAAAGTTTCATATGAAACTTGAATTAAAGTATCCTTGTTTGTGACAAAGACGCTAAAACATGAAACCTGCGTTTTTCGTCCATGTACTGTACCTAAGTGTTGGGTTTATGGTTACAGAACGAGTTGTTCTCGTGTAGAAGTTTTTGAATTGATTCTACTTTAAAGAAACTGGTCGGCTAATAAAAGAGCATAATTAATACCCATCGTTATGCCAACATTTTGTTGGAAGATCTGTGACCGAAGGCAACATAAATATTCTAAATAAGGAACTCCAGTATCGTTTTGGGATCACCTTTAGGAGTTGGACATATGCTGTCCTATGCATCTAACAATATGTTTCTTCCACGTAATTGCCTAAAATTGAAATAGCAACGTTCCTGCCATCTTGATGCTATTTGTTTGGAGGCATTACATACTCTTAGGAATGTGATTCTTTGTCAACATTTATGCAAACTTAATTAATGATGAAATTTTATATTCGTCATTTATTTTTGATGCTTTCATTTACATTGCGATGGTTAAGAGTGATTTTGTTTCAAGAATTAATTACAAAGGCCAAAAGAACATACACTTCTCTTATAAATCATGGTATAATAAAAGTTTCATATGAAACTTGAATTAAAGTATCCTTGTTTGTGACAAAGACGCTAAAACATGAAACCTGCGTTTTTCGTCCATGTACTGTACCTAAGTGCCAGGTTTATGGTTACAGAATGAGTTGTTCTCGTGTAGAAGTTTTTGAATTGATTCTACTTTAAAGAAACTGGTCGGCTAATAAAAGAGCATAATTAATACCCATCGTTATGCCAACATTTTGTTGGAAGATCTGTGACCGAAGGCAACATAAATATTCTAAATAAGGAACTCCAGTATCGTTTTGAGATCACCTTTAGGAGTTGGACATATGCTGTCCTATGCATCTAACAATATGTTTCTTCCACATAATTGCCTAAAATTGAAATAGCAACGTTCCTGCCATCTTGATGCTATTTGTTTGGAGGCATTACATACTCTTAGGAATGTGATTCTTTGTCAACATTTATGCAAACTTCATTAATGATGAAATTTTATATTCTTCATTTATTTTTGATGCTTTCATTTACATTGCGATGGTTAAGAGTGATTTTGTTTCAAGAATTAATTACAAAGGCCAAAAGAACATACACTTCTCTTATAAATCATGGTATAATAAAAGTTTCATATGAAACTTGAAGTTAACCCACAGTAATCATGCCTTTAAGTCAAAGTGAATATTAACCTAAATTGTAAGTAAAGCTAACAGAGGCTGAGCTTAAGTTCTTGTTAACTTAATATTGCATTTATAATTGGAGTGGTTAAGTTCTTCAACTGAAATGGCATTCAAACAATTAAAATCTTATTCAACAACAAGCAAAATGCACAAAACATACTAACTGAGATCCTTCATATACTGGTTCCTTCAACATGATGTGCACCGTCACGGTAGTTCAGTTGGTACGCAGCACTGTTAAGGCTTACTACGAAAAATCAACGGAAAACAGAAGTGCAAAAACGGGCATTGTTTTTAAAACTGAATTTATTTTTATGCAGCTGTTCTATTATCACAGAACTTAAAATTTATGGAAATAGCATAGTACAACCTACGCTGTACTGTATGGAGTTTTGTCCAATCGATGGACAGTCACGTGGCGAATGCATAGTAGGTACACGGAATGTAGGTCAATAACAAAGTTCAATATCGCAAGGGCATACCCTAGTTGAAATTAAAAATTCAAGCTATTAATTGTTTCTGCATATTTTGTACTTTCTGGAAAGTGCTGCTGCTTTGAATAGAATCCGCGTTTTAATAGCTAAAATTTCAAGTAAATAGGCCAATGTCGAAATATGTTTGACTTTTACCACATATTTTGTGTACTTATAAAGTCATGCTCTCGATTTAAAGAAAGCAGCAGCACTTTTCAAGTTAAAGAACATATCCTCTATTTATATTCAAAAAGTGGTCAAGATTTATTTAGTGTATGCCCTTGCGAAAGAGCGATTTAATGAGTCACCTCGATGTACAATATATCTATCCTGAACATAAAAACACGACAGAACTATCTAAATACATTCTCTCGATAGTAAATGAATAATCGCACTAAATAAATGATATACATTGGTATTATTAGCCTATTAAAAACCTGTAAATAATATTCTATTTTATAATAAAAAGCATTTCTCATTGTAAAAAAAATCATAAATCTGCCTTTCACAGCACATGAAATACGTCATTTTAACCAAAATGACGTCATGACTGACACAGTTCATCGAGATCAGTGATTTGTTTAAAACCAGCTGTATGGGATTTAACTAGCGACTTTTGTTAATGCATTGATAATTCTTATTTTTTGTTTATTAAGCTTATACAATTTAGAGTTGCAAATTATTTAATTTTCGGGTAATATGAGGAATGCATAAACGTCATATTTTTGATGTGACGTCACAGTTAACTTTTCCCGTATAAATTAGGCCCTGTCCCCTTTTTCTAGCCTTAACAGTGCTGCGTAGAGCGCTCGCCCTGTGATTGGAAGGTCGTGTGTTCGAATCAATTAAGGCCGGAACTGGCTAAATGCAATAGAACATAGGCTGTAATTGATCCTTAGCCAAGCGCGCTCGGCACTTTGAAATGAACATTGCAGGTCCTCTGGATAAGACATTAAAACCAAGGACTTGTGTCACGGTAGGCGTTTGAACGATCAAGAACGGTGACAGTTCAATGGCTCTGAGTATCTAGTAAAGGTCTTAATCTGAAGCTGTTCAACTGCATATGTAAACATGCACTAAATCTCATATTTGTAAAATTGTCTGGATTTTTTGTTTATTTCTTTGGATTTTGATGGCAATAAACCAAATGCTTATAGCAAAAATGCTCGATTAAATAATTTCAAAAATCTGTTTCAGACGGCTGAACTCCAACAAGATAACTACAATTCAAAACAACACCTTTGATGGTTTTCAAAATTTAAAAATACTGTAAGTATTTTGTAGCTGCATCAGTAATCTAAGCATCAGATTAAAAAACTGAGGTGTGTATTAGGTTTCAAGAATTACCGAGATCAAAGACAAATTACTTTCTTCACACTCCTCAGAGATCCACCAATATTTGAAAACCCAAAGTAAGTAATGAGCATGAATGACAAAGACTGTTAGTGGAATTCTATTTGCTTGACTCATAACCAGAAAATAATGAGCTTATTGTTTGATGTATGACTCTCATGCATATACCAAACCGATTTTCTCCCTTTATATTTCTTTAAAACACTGGGCAGCAAATTCCGGTTTATATGAATTTCAAACTACAGTGTATATTGAGTTTGAAATTATTTGTCTTCTGGGTCAGTAAGTAACAACTTGTCGTTAAGCTTAGCTGGGGTGGATTAAAAATGAATTTCAAGCAAGAACTTTAATCCAATATTTTCTCAGACGTCCTTGTTGAATTGTACTCGCCCATTTCATATGTTATCATTAAATAGTTGGACTGTAACAGATGGAAATGACGTAAGCTGCATATTTCAAAACTTGCCAGTAATTGTTCCGCATTGTTGCTTTTTCCAATTCTGTGAAGTTCATAGCCCCTGGGCAGGGGTTTTGTGGTAGGGCGGGGCTCTATTCATTATATAGTAAACATGCATTTATTTAATTCTTTGAAAATTTTAACTCAATTTTGGTGTTATATAAACAAACTTAGTGCATGGTTGTGATGCACAAGGATGCTTTTCTCAAAAATTGTAAAACTCATGGCCCTGGTGATTGGGGGCTACGATTTATTATATAGTTAAAGGCATAATTTCTTTGAAAATATTCTTTTTTACTCCTGGTTATAAAGCAAAGAATCTTAGTCTATAGTTATGACGAACAAGAATGTTTCTTTCACAATTGTGAGATTCATGGGCCCTAGGTCAAATGGTCTTATCTGAGTGCGGGTCTCTATTAAATGTGAATTAATTCTATTAAAAATGTTGAGAAGGTAAACAAGTTATGATGAAAAATTGTGTTTATCTAATTTTTTTTTTCAAAAAAAACTGTGGTATCCGGGTTTTGGTCTTTCTCGGGGCCAAGGGTAGCTATATTGATAGGGGTTATATTGATAATAAAGTGAAGATGTGTTAATTCTTTAAAATTCAATTATGTGCATACTTTTAATGATGAGGATACCTCTACCAAATTTGTGAATTTCATGACCTTGGGATATTGGTTTTAGTGTATGGATAGGGCTGGGTTGAATCTGTAGTAAAAATGCATTATTTCATTGAACATCTTTTCTGCTCCTTGGTATTTCGCAAGAAAACAGAATCAAAGTTTTCATAAGCAAGGATATTTTCATCAGAATTTTTAACACCAGGATCATTTCTTCAGGCGTTTTGGTCCTAGCCAGAGCTCTATTTATTCACCTTTTGCCATGTACTTTTGATAATTAATCATTGTAAATAATGCATTTGAATGTTTTAAGAATAAGAGAATTATGCAAAAATATTTAGTATATAATACAAAAAATTCTTTCATAGTTTTGATTATCGGATAGACTTGTAAATAATAAATAAATATCAGACAAAAATAACTTAAATGTTCTACAAAGACCAAGAGAAGCCAATGTGAGAGGTCACAACATGGGGATTAAAAAAGTACAGGAAAAACTAACAGTTTCTTAATAGTCTGCATGGTTATAGTACTAAATGGGAGATTAGAATTCAATGTTTTAATTGTTAATAAATACCTCAAAAACCATTTCATTGATCCTGGCTATCCCATTTATCTTGCTTTTGGGCAACAAAACTTTCTCATTTTATGGTTCTATTTTCTATTATATGGATCCTTTAAATTGTAGTATTATACTCAGTTGACCATTAAGGTCCTTGGGCCCTTTGTTAGTTTTTTTTATATCTCTTGGATTAATCATTTCTCTTTTTATGGTATGTGAATAAAATAGTGCAGCAGTTAAGAAATATGCAGTCAAGATCAGGTGCAAGAGATATTCAGTCACACATCGTTATCTCGAACTCGACGGGACTATTAAGTTCGATATATCCAAGGATTCAAGATATTCAAGGTGAAATATCTAAAAACCAAATCCTGACCTATACGCGGCACAATACGGTCATTGAGCAGTGAGGGATCTCGACGGTTTGGCAAAATTGGCGATACTGTTAAGTATGAAACTTATTGAGATAACGAACAGTATTCAAGATCAAAAGTCCCTAAAGCATGCAGCATTGTTGAGGCTGTTGAAAAAAGGATGCGGGGTCTAGTTTATACAGGAAAGGTTTACTGTAACGTCACACAAAAATATGACTTTTATGTACTCATAATACCAGAAAATGAAATAACTTGCAAATTAAAACTGTATTAGCATGATAAACAACAAAATAATTTATCAATGCATTAAAAAAAGTTGCTAAGTAAATACCATACAGCTGGTTTTAACAAAGCATTTATCTCAATGAACTTGACGTCATTTTGGTAACAATGATGTATTTCATGTGCTGTGAAAGGCAGATTGAAGAATTTCTAACAATGAAAATGCGTTTTATTATAAAACTGATTATTGTTAATAGGTTTCAAAAAAGGCTATTAACACCAACGTATATCCTTTGTTTAGTGCGATTATTCATTATCTATCGAGAGAATGTATTTAAATAATTTGTCGTTTTTTTATGTTCAGGTTAGGTATATTTTACATCAAGGAGCCTCATTAAATTGTTCTTTCGTAATGGCATACACTAAATAAATCTTGACCATTTTTGAATATAGATAAAGGATATGTTTCTTAACTTGAAAAGACTTCTTCGCCAAACGACATGCGTTAGAAGTGAAAGCCAAAAGGTTTTTAGTTGAGACCTTAAAACCCTTTATAACTTTTTTACGAGCTCGAGAGGCGTTTGCACGATAAGTAACCTTCACTGCTCACTGCTCAGTGGCCCTGAGTTGTCCAGTATAGTATTTGAAGCCCTTCATCCGTATATGGACACCTGCATACGAGAGAAAAATACTTGAATAGAATATAAAAAATATACAATCAATCAAACATAAAAAAAAATTATCGAGATCATACGATAAACATTATAAGATTAAAAGGTCCGTCTTGTTCTCCGTGTGAAGGTATATGTTACACTGATTGCAATAAATAAAATAGAGGTACTGTAAGCACTGAGCTAATTAAATGATAACCCCGCCTACAACATGATTATAATGGTCCATGTTCTTCTCTCAAAGATCCGATATAAATATCAAATCAAAAAGGAAAATATGAGGTGCACAAATGGCACTATAGAAAATATGAGAAAGTATCATTTAATGTTATTCAATGGTACAGGAGATTTTGCGTATAAGAGATGGGTACCCTTCAATATTATAGAAAGAATGCCAGTGTCAATATTTTGATATGGGAATCCCAAAGTTTTTGTCCTATTAAAAGTTAAATAGAAGGTGCACAATGGCACTATATAACAAGGATTTTGTGAACGTCTCATTAAATTTCATTTCGTGGTAAAATAGGAATAGCGGATAAAACCTGGATATCCCAAAGTGTAACAGACGGACGGATGTACAGACAGACGGAGGGATACCCCTTTGTTTTTCAAGCGGTAGGTATAATAAATAAATAAATGAAAGAAAAATAAAGATAAAATAAATAATAATAATAATAATAATAATAATATGAATCAATGAAAGAAGGTCTTAATATAAGGAATACACCTGTGAAATATGAAAAACCTAGTTCTAACTGTTCAGCAGTTATGACCAAGGTTAAAGTTTCTAAACAGTGGGTTAACTCCTAGGTCAAGGTCGAAAGGTAAAACATATTTATACCATCTGAAAGGTCTTGTCATAATGAATTCTTATGTGAAGTATGAAAGCCCTAGTTCCAACTTTTCAAAAACTATAGCCAAGGTTTAAGTGTGGTATTTTTTGTAGAAGTTGGTCAAACTCCAATGTCAAGGTTAAAAGGTATAAAATGGTGGTACCTAAAGATAGATCTTTTCACAAGGAATACACCCGTATTACAGTGTGTATATGAAAGCCATAGCCCCACCTACTCGAATTTGGGCTAGGTTAATGTTGACAGCGGATAGAAAGAGACAAACAGACAGACAGACAGAACAAAAACAATATACCTCCGAAATCTTTCTATTCGTGGGCATAATTAATATAAATTAAGAACAACAAATAAATAAAAAAATGAATTGATAAATAGATAAACAAATAGATGGATAAATAAATAAAAAGATATTAAGAAATTTAAGAAAAACAAAGTTGTTGAAAGCAATATATTCATTTTGTGCACAGAAGCGTTTAGCAGATTACAATGTGTATTTTCAAATCTCACATTTTTACAGTTCATGAGCGTATTTTATTTGTCATTGACACCGTGTACATACTACTTACAGTATGCTATGCATGCTTATTAGCTATAGAATGGTAAACACGACATTGCAATGTGTCAATTTTCTCTGAGTAATTTACAATTAAACAAAAATAAATAAATTTCTTTGGTAATTCCATGATTCTAGAAAAAATCCATATGACAAGTTTAGTCCTAAAAAGCTATTAATGCACATGTATATAATCTCAAGTATTGACAAGTTAAATTATTTTATTATATAGTCTATTTATAGTCCCTATATAATCTATACAAACGCAAACAGTTCATAATACTACAAATTCACCGGATTTTAGGCCGTATTCACCGGAGGGTCAATTCGCGTGCAACGGCATAGTGACGTCACAATCAAAATATCAAACAACGTTGTAAACAATGGTTGCAACGGCCGCAGCGAGCTACGTATCTGAGCAGGAAAACGATTATTCAAACCCTTTTCAGGATTATTTTTTTAACATCTGGACGTCTTACATATAGCCAAACTCGGAAAGGAAAACACGGAGTTTACAAACAGTAATCTGGAGATTTTTTAATTTTCATCAATGGAAGATCGACAATGAAAATGGTGTCGTCATACAGCCTTCAATGTCAAATC